TCACTGTGACGTTACAAAGCGGTAGGTGGCAGTAGTGCTCTTTGACAAACATGGTAAAGCACATTCAAATGAAATTACTCTTAATTAAAAAAACACTTATAGTTTATTAAAAAGTATGCAATAATTTCATACTTAAAGTACTTTCAGAAGTTTGTATTTTGAATGTGACTGGACTTTTCCTTTAATGTTATTGCAAACATATTTTTCCCGTTTTTTGATCAGTTAAAAGAATGAAATATTTACAAAAATGTTTATTGTAAAATAAAACATATGTTTTTTTTGGTTTGTTTTTATCAAACTAAACCAAGCTACAAATGTTTCACAGCTAATTTCTGTAAACAAATATATTCTGCCTACCGGTATATGTTTTCTGCTAAAATCCTTCCTACATGGCATGCATTAACCAGAGAATACAGTCATAAATCCCCCAACTTCCACACTGAAGAGGGTTATGCATTTATTGAACAGAAGACTATTGAATTTGATTATTAAAAAAAACATCTAATTATCTATCATGACTGGTTTATCTTAATATAGAATAGTTGGAAATGCTTGAAAGGCTCCTTTTTAGATGCTGCAATGTCAGAGAAGTATTTCAAGTTTTCCTTTTATGCTCCCTTTTTAAAGTCTTATCGTACTTTCCACCTACAGTGAACTTATTTTAGCATTGCTTGATAATAAGATTTATGTATTTTATTTAGAAATCCTTGGTGTTGAAGAGAATTTTGTGTTTGCAGTAATGTAGTTTGTTGTAGACTGAAGGTTTAGAGCTGACTGCCAATCGTTAAGTAAGGGATCTGTTTAATTAGAGCCTATCGGCACAGATCTGTCCTCCAAACCTGAGGTGCCGGATTTACAGCTGGTAAATTGATCTGAAAGGCGGAAATTGTGAGTAAACTGACCTGGTTGTCCAGCTCATTGTTTTTAGGAGAAGGAAGACTGAACTATCTTCCACTGGCCTTCATTCTTACTTCAAACCATCCTTTTTTGCGACTGTCTGAGACCACAGCTTTTGACACCCTGTTAGACAGGGTGTGAATACCTGTACCTTTTCTATAGTTTAATATTATTTTTATCTATTTATAATTTTTTTTACAGTTTTCCTTTAATGGTACATTTTTAAGTACGTAAGGAAAATTACAGCTGAAAGTTTATTCTTAAAGTAAAAATATGAAAACGAAACAAATTTAAGTGTCTTTCAGGGACCACAGGAACGCACAACAGAGAGTTGGTGTTTAGGGGCAGGTTTGGGATTCAGCCAGGTTACTCATCCAAGCAAATATTGATTCACAGAATCAAAATCTTCTGCTGGGGCCTTAATGCCTAAAGAACTTATTTCAATTATGTCTTTACCTGCTTGCACCTTCTTTAACTGCATTCGGCCTCGCAGAGGGCCTCTCACTCTGAGCCTGGTCCAGCTGGACGTTTCTTCCTGTTAAAAGGTAGTTTTCCTCTCCACTGCCACTACATGCATGCTCGGTGTGAGGGATTGCAGAGTTAAAGAGTCCATGCATTTGCATGGTTTTCTTTAGAGAGAAACATTTTTGAAGTATGTGATTTTGTTACCTGCATAAATAAATTAAATAATATTTTTCTGTTTGCAACTTTTCTCTGTGTGAGAATTAAAAATGAATAACTGCAATGTCAAACACCCCACTTGAGAAGTCCTTTATTTAAACATCCTAAGGAAGGGATTTATTGAGGTTAGCAGTGATATAAAACATTTCTGTCAGTATTAAGTTTATTATCATGTCTGTCGTTTAGCTCCAGTCTACTAGGTTGTGTCTCAAGTTGTAATGGAAATCATAAAGGATAAAAGCATCCACTGAATGCAAAAACATAAATATTTTGGATTCTATTTCTAAATCAATAATTGTAACAACTGTAAATTTTAAATTGTAATTCTGACTTGTCGGGGACCACTAAGCAGATAAGGTCTTCTTCCATTAATTCAGCAGATTTTTACAAATTTCACTCTTCTCTGATCACTTTAGAAAAAAGTCAACATGCAAATACTAATGCAGAGTCATTTTTCCTATTCCTGGTGCTGCTGTAATATGTGTATCCTTAAGTAAGTCAACAGCTGCCCTAAATTAGTTTCTTTATTCACCAAATTGTGTTGTTGTTATATGTTGTCTAAAATTATTTTATTATACTGTTGAGGTAACTGTCTGCAGTAAAGTTAAATTTGATTATGTCTGGAGACTGTTTTATTAGAGCTCAGGAGATTTATAAGCTTAATAACTCAATACAGATGGTTGGGAGACTATAAAAAAAAAAAAAAAAACTATAAAATAAAGTGCTTAAATAAATAAAACTTATAGGCTGAAAAAAAGCAAACTCCGGTCATCTAATGCTGTGTTTTTAAACCCTTGTCCTTAAGGTACAAGGCCCTGCATGTTTTAGATACTTTCCAGCTTTAACGCACCCGATATCAATTGACGGCATATAAAATGGCTTTGCTGAACTACAATCTTAACGATCATTTGGATTGATGCAGAGAAACATCTAACACATGAAGGGCAGTGTGCCTCAAGAACCAAGGTTGAAAAACACTGATCTAATGCATCATCTGTTCCAGATCTGCTTGTAATGGGGCATGCTGCCCTCTAATGATAATGAATGGTAATGGATTGGGAGGTGTGTGGATCACGATGAAGCCAATGGCATCTCATCACCATCTTGTTTCATGTTAAAGCAGATTATTGGGTGATACTGCATCCTGTGGTTTTGGTTCACCTGTCTTAGTAAAGGCTGTGCCAGGTGCTCAGAGCCAAGGGGCCAGCTTCCCAGAACCATGCAGAGACAAAGGTGCAATACCAGGCACACACAATTGGAAAGCTGTGCTGACTCATAACCTGCTGAATTGTTTGTTAGACTAAAGGAGAGTAGCATGAGGGAAAAGAAAGAACGGGAAGCAGATATTACTTCCTAACCAGTAGGTACAATAGGAGCATGCCTTACTTCTACTCTGCATTGAAATCAGAAAGCAGGCTACTGCGGTTAATTATGTAAAAACAAGCTAAAAGGTTTTATAAGGACTTGCAAAGGATCTCTTTTTTTCTAATCAGTCTCCCACTTAGTTTTCCAATGTGAATATAAAGAAGAAACACACAGCTAATTTATCACGAAGAGTGGCAAATGGCATTTACAGGAGCATAATTAAAAGGAGCCTGTCCTCATTACCACATTCTCTCAAATGGTTTTTAGTGGTTGGACACACAAGCAGGAAGTGGTTAGCAGAACTATGTGTAATTGCAGGACTCTCATTTTTTGTTGGAGCATAACCACTGGCTGTTTTCTGCTTACAACTGTTTCCTGTTATGTGTTGTGATTTGATGTGATGTGAGAGGCTGAGGATTGTTGGCATGTCTACGTGTTCGAGTGTGATTCTGGTTATGTTCTGTCCTGTGGCCAATAAGAATAGGCATGTAGCTGCTTGAGAGCACAAGTGAACTTCTTCAGTCTGGCTCTGTGGAAAATATCGATCCACCATTAGCGTGACTGATACTCCTCTTGCAAAGATAATCAGTAAAAAGACTTTTTTGTTCCCTAATCAGTAAAACAGAAGCCTTTATTTTAATGGCTTTGCCTGGAATTCTCTGAGTTATTTATCAAACCCTTAAAGCCTGGAACCACCTAGCATGTTATGACCGCAGGGGTAGGGGGAGTGTTATGCACCGTATTGTGCTAGTGAAAAAAGTGAGATGAATGGTCCAAGTGATTTTTCACTTTCTTTATAGGATTTGAAACATTGCAGGCATGATAAAATAAATGCAACAAAGGGGTTGCAGCAAATCTCTCTGCCAGCCTTTTGCTAGCGCATGCTGGGCGCAGTGAGAAGTGGGTTAGGAGGGACATCAATCCTATCTGTGCTGTCCAAATCCATCCAAGCCAAGAAATTTTTCTTTTCTTTTTTTCTTTTTTGTATTAATCTTCATTTCTTTTTAAAAATCTTAATTAGATCAAGTCAGGACTGTAACTAGATTATCTTATTAACATAAATCGTACTTGTGTTCAAAAATAAAAGCAGATTTGAGACAAGTTTTATCATCCTTCCTTAAATGCTAAATGTTGTAAAGGGAAATATCCTAACTGTAACTGGATTTTGCTTGCTTTCCCCTTTTCCTTTGCACTATCATGTCCTTTGCATTCCCTAGTGTCATGTGATATATAAATAGGCTGGAGTCTGTTCCAATATTTATTTTTATTTTACTGTCAGATATTCATATCCACTCATTTAGATCACACTAGTTTGTTCCCTCTCTTTTTTATGCTAATAATTGTGTGTAACTGTTTGCGTGTATGCCACCGTCACACTCAAAATTCCCAAATAAAAATGGGATAAAGGAATTTTTATTACATTATTTTTTTTTTCAACCTGGAGAGATTCGCACAGAGAAAAGCTGCAATTAGAAAAGTTTAATGGACATGAGGGAAATAAGTTATTTGGCGCTTGGGCCCGGCAGAGAACATTGATGCTGTGAATGAGCATTTGCATGGTTGAGGAACCTAGGTAAAGGATTAGAGTAGTCTACCCCCACCCCTGTGCCACACACTGGTGTTGAAATAAGCTAGAGGCTGAGTGGGACAGAGAATAATGTGACAATGAGGGAGGAGATGGGGCGGAGGTGGATAAAGGTTTTCTGGTGTGCTAGAGAGAGGCTAGTCCAGCAGCTAAATGAAGGGGATCTAGAAAGATGATTGGCTTCGAAGGAGGTGCTGCCCCAATGATCATTGGCTGAACATCGTGTGGTGCAGGTGAAGCTAATAAGAGTCTTCCAGATAGAATTTTTGCTTCAGCCTCATATCAGTGTTGAAACTCTTCTTTAAATAGGATTCGCCTTTAAAAACACCTGCTCTTACATTCACATCAGTTTTCACACCCAAAAATGTAGGTTTACAGTAAAAGAAATGGATATGGATGATCCTGAAATTACAGATTCTGTAAATGTACTCTTTATTCTACTGATTATAGTACCAAGTAGCATGGCCTACCGGTTTGTTAGAAGCAAAGCAGACGTTTCTTGTCTTGTGTGTGGGAGCTGGAGCCTGCAGGGCAGATAAAAGGCTCACTGTCACATTTCTATGTGTTGTACTTTGATTGTTACAAAGATGACATTTTTCAGGAGGGGGTTTGTCTATTCAGATGACTTCAGGAAATATTTTGACATTAATTTTACAGCTGATTAGATTTTTCTTTTAACTAAACTGTGCCCCTCGCTTTTAGCAAAAGATCCAGTGCCAACACTATCTCTATGAAAAATATTTGGAGAAATTTACATCCTTCAAATGCATTCAGTACTTTTTTAGTGCCATGGAAATGTTTATGAAGAAAACAAATTTGACTTATGCTCAATACCTAAATGGACTTAGTCAGACCAATTTTGTCAGCCAAAGAAAAATAAAGGACATTGCATTTTTCTCTTCTCATTCTGTCAGTTCTTGTCCTCTGTGTCTCCAAACAAGCCTCCTTGACAGTGAGCATAATTCCCCATGAATTCTGTTCTTGCTCAGCTCAATGAGGAAAACTCACTCTTGGCTCAAAGGGAGAAAAATCCCAGAGTCCAAAGCCTAAAACAACAACTTCTTCTCCTAGTTCCCCGCAGACTATCTTTTTTTTCCATGCCAAATGAATTGCCCCTTCTGTTGCTACTTGCTCTTGTTAACTGCAGCAGGGAGTGCTAATTGGTTATCTATATGGTAGAGCACACTGAGTTTCAGGTCATATTTAGGACTGAGAAAGAAAAGGGAAATCTATTGTTTAAAAAAAAAAACTGTTTAGACATTTTATTGATCCAACCATTGTCGTAGAAACCTCTTAAAAATGTGTAATAAATTTGAAAGTTCATTTTTATTGGAGTGGCAGGACCTGATATTGAAAATTGAAAGAAAAAAATCACACAAAAAAATCATAGAGTTTTTTTTAAGAAGGGGAAAGAATCATTATAAGATATAATGATATTTTATGAAACTACCTGTGCTGTTGCTGTTTTTTTTACTTTGTGCATTATGTAACCACACTTAACCTTTCTTTAACAAAGTCAAATCAAAACTATTTCGAGCACAATTGTTCGAAGTCATCTACTGTAGACTTTTGAGTCGACTTTAATCCTCTCCTCAGTTCACTTCACCAGTTTTTTATAGATTTCAGGTTAAGGACTGAGATACACTGGAAATACATGGTTGGCGTTTTTTGTCTAATGAACCATTTTTTGTTGGATTGAAGAAAATACAAATTAAAACATACTGGAAACTGGAACATCAATTATTCACCACTTAATAGTAGACATAAATCTGTTTTGTTTCAGATATTTATTTGGTATTTCAATCCTGACTTACCTGGTGGGTTTGTTGTGCTCCTGTCTCATCTTGCAAATTGACAAACAACATTTTACAGTCTGTAACGGGAGGACAGGAAGGCATTCTTTATGACATGTTTTCCATCTGCAGGCTTTCAGTACCATCTACAGTACAGATAAAGTATAATTGATAAATGAATGAAGTGGTCATACTGTTCAAGCCTTTGCTTGGTATATGTCTCTGAGATGTCAACAAATATAGACCAACATTATTTAAGAGAGACATCTGAGAGCATTGATTTGAGTTCAGAATAGATCATGACTTTTAACTGAACAGAACATTTTTATTTTGTTAAATTGGTACAGTTAACTCTTTTAGTTTAAGTCTTCTGTCTAGAATGCAGTTTATTTTCTTCATTTCAGTTTGAGTTATAGCAAGCTATATTAACAATAATCTTATAGCAATCTTCTTTTTAGGGTCTCCATAATCTTCAGAGAGACCAAGCTACGATATGGTGAAATACTAGTCCTAGCAGTGAATGGAGCTGAAGCACTTTATCACAAAAGACAGAGGCACAGGTTAACTTGTAGGTAATATTTTTTACACTTAATATTGGTTTATTTGTTTATTTAAATAAAGCTTCAAGACCAGAAAAAAATCAAAATGATCAAGAATATCCTGAGATTTAAAGTTTTTTTTATGAAAATACAATCAGCCAGAGAATTTAAATCTAAAGAATAAAATTATAACCATTTCCGACACCAGAATAAATAGACTTGTTAAAAGGAGCAAATGCGAAACAGTATCCAGCAGTTTGACCTAATTATAGTAGTACTGTAAATAAGATATATTTTAATGCAAGTATCATGTGGGTGATAAATATAATCATTCATACATGTTTTTGAAATATGAATAACAGGATGGCCTTCAGTTTGGACTGAATTTTTTAGGTTTTATTATTGTTTTTAATAAAGCGGTATATATATTTTTTACTTTTTTCACAGAATATCAATAAATTACTGGAGAATCATGTTATAAGTATAGCATTTTCAAGCAAGCAACTGAAGGTTCACCGGAAAAACAGAATGAAATTAAGTAATATACTGTATTACGGGTATTCTAATTTCTTAAAGTTGCTTGTAAAATTAGGGAACATTTATTTATGAATGCCTTTCCATCCACTTTTTGACTTGTTCTACATTCTGTCTCCAGGAAAAGAAATACCTGTAAATAAAAACTGCTACAGTATGTTGTGAATGCAAAATCATTTGAAACCAAAGGAGAAGCAAACTGCAGTGTTATGTTACTTCTAATTCACTTGTGAGGCCAACTTCTTCTGTCCCTTGTGGGTGAATGAGTCTGAGGTGCTTAAGAGTTATTCAAGTCTTTCTAAGGCCTCTTTAAAGTTGTAATTATTTTATTTGCTATGCACCTTTGCAAATACTCTGTCCCTGATGAGTTCTTGTTGGCAGTCTTTATTTTCTGTTAGAACCTGTATCGGTGCAAAGTACTACTTAAAGAGAGGATCCAACCAATAAGCCTTGTGATATACATTAAATGCCCACAGACTTAAAATACCCCCCTGCTTCAGTTCTGCACAGGTCTTGTGCAGCCTTGCTGGTTCTTTGCTTTTTAGAGATCTACCTTGGAGATGCACTACTCAGCAGTCTGGCAAATTAGAAAAAGAAAGCCATATTGTCAGGATTTATTCACTATGTTCTATTAGTTAAAAATATATATATTTTATGTGCTGCTTTAAAAGTCCTTTTAAAAATTCTAACAGATTTATTTTATATTTCATTGCTACACTGACAAACTGTAGAAGCATAATGTAGTAATGGCAGATTAATAGAAAACAAGAAGTGGAAAAACAATATGTTAAGCTAAATACACACTATTGTCAGGTACCTGCGTTTTGAGCTTTACGATGAACTACAGATAAATCCCTTTTTAATCCATAGTGTTTGATATGATGTAGGTGCAGCTTTTGGTAAACAGACCAGTCAGACTGATACAACATATTTACAGCTTATCAGTCTGGTAAAGTGCTGGCACAGCTGGTTTTCAAAGGCAGGACTAACAGGGTCAGCCTCATCAGGTGAGAACCAAGGTGAAAATTACAGATTTGATGCAAACTCTCCAAGTGATGTGCTCTGGTTTTGTAATTTTGTGGTCTGTAAAACATGTCAAGCCATCAAAGAAACCCTTCAGTGAACAATTTCCGATTTTGCTTAAAATATCAAGGATATAAGGTGTGCTCTCTCGGATGTTTTTTATTTTAATTGTAACAATGCTCTGTTGTGGGTGCCAGTTTGTTATTATGCTAGCAAAAAAAGAGCTGATGCATTGTGGGTAAATTTGGTGCTGACAGTCATGCATCGTAGGGTCTAACTTCCTGCGCTGCCGTTCCTTCCTGCGCTGCCGTTGGTCTGGCCAGATCTGGCCAGACCAACGGCAGTTTACCAGACTGAAGTCAGTCTGACTGGCCAGCCCAGGCTTTTGCAGCTAAAACAGCTTGAAATCTTGAAATACTCTCCTCATTTAGGCAACATTTTTATTGGCATTTTTTCAGAAGTGCTTTCATAAGTTTAGACATATTGGACATACAATTCAAATGATTGTTATTGAAACTGCATTCAGTTCGTGTTCCTCTACTCCAACCTGTCTTATCCATGCCTTCATAGACCTTGCTTTCTAAACTGAACTTTTTAGAATGTGGATTGAAAAAAGGTGGTATGGTAAAAAAAAAAAAAAAAAAAAAAAAAAACCTAAATAACTGAAATACATATATACAACCAGTAAAAGGTTTGAAAACTTTTTCTCATCCATTGGGTTACCTTTACTTTTATTGCTAACTTCAAAATAGGAGATTGGACCTACAAATTGAGATATTTGGATTGGGCCTCAAAGCTTGCAGGTTCTTCACAGTATCTGGGTTGTCCCTAGGCCTGCACTTCTCTGGCTGAGATACCATACCAGCAACTTGGTTATACATATATAATACATTTCATGTATCATTTTCATGTATATTTACTGCTGCTGTATTTTTCCATGCTGTGAGATGCTGGGATATTTCTAGGTACTCTTTAAATAGCCAACACCTGGGCTCGTCCAATGGTGAAGCTGGATCTCTATTGTTCTGTGGCTCAGGGCTTGCTTCTGTGCTGCCATGATCAGTGATTTGGTGCTGTCCTGTAGTCTTGCCTTCTCTAGCCATTGGTCTGGTCATATCAGCCACTTCAGGTAATGGTTGTTGGTATACTCCAAGATAGGGCTGAACGATTAATTGCATTTGCAATAATATCGCGATATGATAAAACGCGATTTTCTAACCGCAATGGACGCGATTTGACGGTCACGTGATGGTCACGTGACGGTGACGCGCTAGCCAAACAACACAGAGGGAAAGCTGATGTCGTCTGCGACTAACTTGCTGAACAATGGCGTCAGAATGCACAAACACCGACACAACTGAAGGTCTGGTACCAAAGAGGAGCGGCACGTCATTGGTGTGGAATTTTTTTGGGTTTAAGAAAGAAGACGCTGCGCAAACTCAGGCGTTGTGCCGGACATGCCTTGCTATGGTTGCTACCTCACGAGGTAACACGACGAACCTCTATCAGCATTTGAAAAAACACCACAAGGCTATGTATGATAGCTGCATGGCTAGAATGGCAACTACCAGTGCCTCAGCGTCAGTTAAGCAAAGTACCACCCGACAGGGATCACTGACCGAACTGTTTGAAAGTGTTACTCCCTATGAACATAATGCGAAACGGCACGTTGAAATAACTCGGGCAATTACGGAGTTTATAGCGAAAGACATGATATCCGTCAGTATAGTGACCAAGCCTGGGTTTACGGCTTTGGTACACACGTTGGATAAGCGGTATTCAATGCCCTCGCACACATATTTTAACCAAGTCGCAATACCTGAGCTATACAAAAAATGCAGAGACAGAGTTGCTGCGGAGCTGAAAACAGTGGAGTTTTTTGCAACAACTACAGATTTGTGGTCAAGCCGAACAGCGCAGCCGTACCAGAGTCTAACAGTGCATTATATTGACGAGGACTTAAATCTTAAAGCTCGCTGCCTTCAAGCTTCCTACTTCCCGGACGACCACACAGGGGAAAACATTGCTGCTGGCTTGAAAGAGGGACTGGCTAGCTGGAATTTACCGGAAGAAAATCACATCTGCATAACGACGGACAACGCATCAAACATGGTGTTGGCAGCACAACTAAATGAATGGACCAGACTGCAGTGTTTTGGGCACCGATTACATCTTGCCATCGGTACGTAACATATCTCAGCATGAGAGTGTGTGATTGTGAATGCGCAGAGAGAGAATATCTGTGGGTGTGTGTGTGTGTGTGATTGTGAATGCGCAGAGAGAGAATATCTCTGTGTGGGTGTGTGTGTGTGATTGTGAATGCGCAGAGAGAGAATATCTCTGTGTGGGTGTGTGTGTGTGATTGTGAATGCGCAGAGAGAGAATATCTCTGTGTGGGTGTGTGTGTGTGATTGTGAATGCGCAGAGAGAGAATATCTCTGTGTGGGTGTGTGTGTGTGATTGTGAATGCGCAGAGAGAGGATATCTCTGTGTGGGTGTGTGTGTGTGATTGTGAATGCGCAGAGAGAGGATATCTCTGTGTGGGTGTGTGTGTGTGATTGTGAATGCGCAGAGAGAGAATGTGTGTGTAATGTAAGGGGTTGAGTAAAAGAATGTGAAAGTTAATATCCTTTTTCACTAGAGATGCACCAATCCATTCATTTTATGATCCAGTACCTGTGCTCTGCATATTGGCTGATATTCAATACCAATTTGGAGGTATTGTTGTAATGAATTAACTGTATAACTTGCAAGACTTGATATAGACATTGATAAAAAAAAAAAAAAGGTAACAAATTACGAGATATAAATGTACTTAATATTATTTATTAAGAAATGAAGTGTAGATTTGCACTGCATTATGCTGCAAATTTTGCAGCATAATAATATAATCTAATAATCTAATTTTATGTTGCAGGACATGCACTTAAAGATGACAGAGTGTCCAGAGCAATAGGGCTGTGCAAGAAGCTGGTGGGGCACTTCTCCCACAGCTGGAAGAAGAAGGCAGCAATGGCTGAAGCTCAAAGGGAACTAAAACTTCCTGAGCACTCCCTCATCACTGAATGCCCTACAAGATGGGGATCCAAAGAAATGATGATTGCCAGGGTGCTAGAGCAGCTCAAAGCCATCACTCAGGTGTTGTCAGGTGACCGATATGCACGCTCCCTGATCCCAACCTGGCAGGATATTGAGGTGTTGGAGTCCATTCACAAGGCACTGCATCCTCTCCAGGAGTTTACGGATGCTCTCTCTGGAGAGGAGTACGTCAGCATCTCTTACTTAAAACCAGTTCTTCACCTTCTGTCCACATCAGTCCTGGCTGAAAACCAAGAGGACACTGACCTGACAAGGTCAATTAAGACCAAGGCCCTGGCTTACCTCACCGATAAGTACAGTGACCCCAGCATCCAGGAGCTTTTGGATGTTGCATCCTTTCTAGACCCAAGGTTCAAAACCAAGTACATCGCTGCAGACAACATTCCCACCATTAAGACCCGACTCAAAACTGAAATTATGCAACCAGCAAGGCGTGCATATAACCAGGTTGGTAATTATCACATTTATGATTCCATAAACACAATATATCTTTCTAGTTATAATTTAACCTCAACACTAATTACTGTATTTTTTTTGTTATCTGACAGGAGAAGAGAAGTCGTACTGAAACCACAACGATGCCTAAAAATGCACAGCCCTCTGTTGAAAAGGGCAAGAAGTCTCTTGGGAGTTTCTTCAAGACTGCTGTGGGCTCTTCTGTTTCTTGCATGCAACCCGAAGATGTTGTTGAGGCAGAGTTAAACAGCTACCTCATGACTCCTACCATCGATGGAGAGGAAGACCCCTTGGCCTGGTGGAAGATGCACAGGATTAACTTTCCACAACTGTGCAACATGGCCCGCAAGTATCTTTGTGTCCCAGCCACAAGTGCTCCTTCAGAGCGTCTTTTCAGTGCTGGAGGGAATATAGTGACTTGCACTCGCTCCTCTTTGAAACCAGCAAAAGTTGACATGCTGATTTTCCTGGCAAAAAATCTGTGAGCTTCTAAAATAAAATACAGAGACAAATCTTTGTGGCTTACAGTGCCATATGTTTTTTGCACTTTACAATAGTTGTTTGCTGCTCTTACTGAGTGAATATATAATTTATATGATTGTTCAAAACGTTTCTTAGGATTTAAAAAGGTCATACACTAATTTATTTTCTGTTTATTTGAGAGTTTGATTGACCTATTAAAATGTTTACAGGTTGAAAGAAGTAATTCATTCGGTATACTATGCTGCACTTTAGTATGTTTGATGCCACTGACTGGAGATCAGTGATTTATTTCGTTTCTTATTTTGTTTATTTATTTTTAGACTGTCCTGTTAAAATCTGACAATGTTTAAGGAGTGGAGTCTATATGTTTATATATCGCGTTTCATGAAACATGAGAAGATGTTAATAAGGTAAACGCACACAGATTTGTTTCGTTTATTATTGTAATCTGTGCTTTAAATAAATCTGATTATTATGAAACAGATTTGTTTGTATATGTTTAAAAAGACATGAGAAATTAAACCAGGATAGAAAAATCGCATTAAATCGCAATATCAAAGTAAAAAATCGCAATTAGATTATTTTCCAAAATCGTTCAGCCCTACTCCAAGATGGTTATTTTCTTCCTATAATGGTTCCTTTACTTCTGCTCCCAACTTTCTTATGCCCATTTGGCCTCTGCCACCTTGTGGGCTTTTGGTGTATAGCCTGTGAATACTGGATTTGGGGAGGAATCTGCCATGCGTGGTGAGTAGCTTTTGTGGTTTAACATCAGTGGTCTGACTTTTCTACTTTGGCTAAATTATTACCCCAGCATGGCATTGGATTATTGACCAGATGTCTTTTTGGGGTTATCATTTTCTTGTGGTATTTTGAGGTACTTATAGGCCTGTTCTAAATCTGCCATTGTCCCTTCTGGGGGTGCAAACTTCCCTCTACTTGTTACCATCTGGCCACATTCTTCTTCAGCCAGAATAACATTTCCACATCCCTACTGTAGGTCCTCCTGGTGTGGATCAGCTAAACAATGTCTTAATCTCTGTAGCATACAGTTTGATGTCAGCTAAATACAGGAGGTAGCATTAGGCCTATGAAAAACAGCAGAGGGCACAGAGCATATTTTCACAGGTGGCTTGAAGTCTACAATGAAGGCTATTTATTTATTTATTTTCAATACAGCTTCAGCCATTCCAGGGTCAATGTGTGTGGCATTAAGACAAAGGCTTTCTTTTAAACAACCTTGGCACACGTTTGTTAGTCTGGTTTTGCAGTTTCAGGGAAATGTCCTGTCAACCCATATTTGGTGTTTGGCTCCTCAGGTGTTTTACCAATGCCTTTTAATGCCACTATTATGCTTATCCATGTGCTCACTTATCTTAGCCGCTATGATGCCTTACCGGGACTCCCATGTTGTGGAGAAATGGGTTGTTTGCCAATAGTTGGTTTGTGTCCCTCCTTTCTGTCTTCAGTCAGCCATTTTGGGGTGGGTCCCATTGCTCAGCAACTCATGCAGAAAAGTCAGCTTATGTAAAAATCCCTCTCTCTGTGTCTCTGTAAAATGTCTGTGCTAACATCTGCTGTCCTTTGTACTGATACATTATCATTTAGATTGATGCTAAATTCCAGGTAAGCCTGCATATATTCCAATTTCAATGTATCATATTGTGTCAACCTGAGATGAACTCATCAGATGGGGTTATTTCTTTCTATTGCTCTTAGTCTCACTATCTTTGTCTCTTTATGTTGTGCTGTCAGTCTGTCTCTGGGTTTATTTCCTCTGGTTTGATAACAGGTACCAGGGACATGTCTGCCCAGTGGAGACAGTAAGACAGACACAGAGACAGAAAGGTAGTGACACCTAAAGGAATAAGCAGGGAAGAAATGGGTAGATTGTGAGCATGAGTTCATTCTTATCCATGACTGAAAATAAACCAACCTATTTATAAAATGATAAAAACAAATGCTAAATGGTCATTTTATTTTTTTCCCCCATTTGGTCTAGTTTTCAAGACTGCTTTGTATTTTTTATCTAACATCAATGTAAATCAAGTGTCCACTTTCAGGCCCTTTCTTTTCATTATTGAGTCTTTGCTTTTATGTAATTTTTCTTTTTTTGACCTGTACTTTATATTGTGACTGTGCCTAACTGTAACTTTAACTACCAGTAGATCCTTGTTTCTCTGGGCAATCTGACATTCAATGGTGGAAGTTAAACTTTATGCTGCTAGCTGTGCTTCTGGCTTAATGAAGTGCCAAAAATCATGAAACTCCTCACAATTAACTGTACTATTGGCATCATGAGGGATGAGGAACAGTAGACTTTGAGTCATAATGTCGGAGCACAACTTTAAACCTACACTGAAATGGTAAGGGGGGCATTAATCAGTGAAGCAGATTAATGCAGAGTTATATTATAGCTCGAGAGGAGAAGCATTGAGCCATGTCTAGATCAAAAAATCTGTCTACAGGAACACGGTTTGTCTTGAACTCTGCAAATGTGGCCTTCAGTTACAAAAGTATAGTAATTGTTTAAAGAAAGATACAAGAGGTACGCTTTGGAGGCTCAGAATGTCATAAAGAAGCCAAACCTGTGGAAACTAAACTCAGGCCTTTAAGTAAAGCATTTTGCCCAGTGAAAGACTACTGCTATATATCATCATGGAAACATCAACATCAAACACTGGGAATATTTTTCTTTGTTGGGGACAGGAAAGCTACAACAACATTGTAGTAAAAAAGATGGACCTATAAACTACTTACCCAGTGGAGCTGAAAGCACATGAACAGTACAGTACAACTCTTATTTCTTGTCAAGTTTTGTGACGTTTGGTTTACTGCACGATTCCCCACTTGAAAGGGATAGTCTCTACTATGGAACTTCACAGGATTTCACTCAAAGAGCCTTAAATTTAGCTGATCCATCTTCATTTTTTCATGATGGTCACCATGGCCTTCAAGTCATATAGGTGAAAAACCTCAAAAGAAATAGAAGCACATGCATTACATTTCGAAATCAACAAGATAAATACATTGTGAAATATTGAAACAGATTTCCATTCCCTTTAATCCATTTTTTATCTTATTTTTTTTATTGATTTGAATTTTAAAACTGTCCAATACAACAATCTATCAGAGTCCATATGCTGCTCCAATGAGAATCAGGAAATGTACAACAGCATTGTGAGGTCTACCGGCTGTCCTTCACAGTTTGTAGAGAACTTGCACAGTTCTGACTTTACATGTGCTACCAGCTCTGATTGCTCATCATGCTGTGGCAGTTCTTCAAACACGAGTGACAGGTCAGTCTAACCAAAAGTACCTGCACTCTCTGATTGCTCTGAGATTGAGTCCACCTCTTTTTCATCAAGCCACAGAGAGGTGCAGCAGTGGGGAGTGGCTACCAAGGAGTTCGCCAGAACATTTCTAGTTGAGACAACAAATGAATGCATGCTATTCTCCCCCTTTCACTGCTGTTTGTTATATAATAATCAAATAAAGTGAGTTTTGTGGCAACATGGCGATGAAAGGTGAATGAGTTCAAATTACAAATAACTTTTAAGGCTCTTTTTCATGATGTTTCCTTTTGCATTCTGTTATACTAGTTCCATGCCTCGATTTAAAACCATCATTATTTTCCTATAAACATCTCTACGGGTTCTATTTTTCCCCTAAAATAGGCAGATGGCTAGTTTACTGTCGATTAGTAGTTTTACAGCTTACTTTACTCTTCCTAAGGTGGCTATTTTCAACAGCCCCCATTATCTAGCACAATTAGAGCTAGGTTTTTGCCTAATTTAGCTTCTGAATTCATACTGTGTTTAGCAGCAACATCATCCTTGAAGTTCATTAACTCCCTCCAGAGTTGTGATTTAAAAACAGGCAGTAAAAGGCAGCTTTGATCTTCTGTCCATCCCCATGGGATATCCCCCGGCAGAGACAAGTTTCTCCTGCTCATTGTTCACAGTACAGTAAGCAGACAGAAGACAGATAACTTGGTCTTTCATGTATCTGGTTGGTGGGTGAGCAAATCTGTAGATTAGGCTTATCAATGGCTATTTATGTAGGCTGAGTTCTTACCTCGCCTTAGCAATGCTGGTCAGACCACTTTCTAATTGAAGAATGACTTAAAACATTGTTTAATCACATAAATATCACATTAGCCATATTTATTTATTTATAAGCTACAGACAGTATGATAATCTTTAAAAAAAACAACCTTTCGATGGACAGAATTACGCTGGGCAAAATTATGAACACAAAACATCTTTTATATGTATATAAAGATAAACACAATGGTGAGTAGAACCAGCTACATTTCTACATTTATACTCAGTTCATTTTTTTCATAACTTTTTTGACAAAAATGTATTAGAAGCAGTTTTACCGTTCTACTTTACACTTTTCCTGTAGTAATATTTCATATTTTCATCTTTATTGTGTAATTTTTTGCCTAGTCTACCTACCATGACACACCTCATTTCACTGAATAAGAGTTAGGAAGACTGTTACATTTTGGCCAAAATTAGTTTTATTTCATTTTATTTTTTGAAGTACCGGTAGTTAATAAGACTTAGTAGTTCAAATTTGTCAATGTCTAAACATTTCTTCTCATTCAAATTTATTTGACTCTGTGTGACATACTGTATTCCTCTTTTTTGACTATATTCAACTCAAACCTTTAAACTGAATTGACCTTTTTATCTATTAATTAAGCATAACTTAATTCATTTAGTACAGAACAATATGTCATAAGGAAATGCATCTGCAGATTTTGTTGATAAGACCAAAGTAACTGACTAGTTGGTGAAAGGTGTGGCTAGAGCTGCAGTTCCATGAGTGAGGTTGCTGTAAGATTTAAAGGGGCCTGCTCAATGTTGGTTTCTGACAGATGGTCAGATGTCTTAAACCTTGTAGACTTTATAATTAGAATCAAGAACATGAAATTTGTGCTTTGATGTTTGGTGACTTTGAGCACGGATGAGGAAGGAAGGTGAGAATGTTCAGTAAATAATTTTTCCTTAATTTCCAGAGGTTTTGGCTTTGCATTAAGTAAAATCAGACTTCAATCAAAAGTTTGATGACTTCAAACTTGATTTTATTATATGAATTATATGAATTTATTATATTTAAATGGGCCTTGTGACATACTCTGACTCACTGACCTTACACATTTCTATAGTCGTAGCAAACTCTCATTGCATAAGACTTTTCAATAAATTATCACATCCTGTGGACTGTTTAAATCTAGTCCTGGTGTATCTTCCAGAGACGATACAACATGACTAGATTTAAACAGTTTAATTCATATCCCAGTTTATATGCTGACAAATGTCCAGGTTAGACAAACAAAACAATTTACTGGCCAGAATTATCCCCCCAAAAAATTCGGATTAATTTTTTTAAACCTTCAGTGTATTCTTTATGACTAATCAACTAACTGACTGACAAACAGTGGGAATGACTGACAAATCAGTTCTAGTCTGATTGACATATTTGGCATCAGGGGGAACTATCTGTCAGTAATTAGAGTGAAGTACCACCACTCATGCCATGCATTCTGAAAAAGATGCCCTGTGCAAATTAATTAATTGGAAACTAGCGGAGCATTAAGATTTCTTCTCTTTTCGCTTCCCAGGAGTTAATGTGGCGGTGAATGAATTTAGCTTTGCGTCCTTTGTCTTGCTGTCATGACTACAGCTGCTCTCATACAGTGTCCCATTGAGAGGTAATATCAGGATTGTTACCTGCAATAAGAGCACACAGATGTGTGGTAGACAACTTAAAGGATTATGCAGAACATCAGCTGTAGTCATGACGCAACAGCCATGCATACAGAAGGCTTTGTATGTCAAGTTCCTTGCAAAAGTAATCAGAGCCCTTGCACTTTCTAGCCTTAAACCTGATTTTACTTAGTTAAAATTTTAACTAAGAATAACTCGTTTTATTTTGTGGTTCATCTGTTTTATTAGCTTGACTGCATGATTTTGTTGTGCTTTTATCCTTACTTGCTTTTATTCTGCCTTTGTGTTCCTTGTATTATACCGTTTAATTTAAATAAAGCCTTTTGAATTGTCTATGTACTGAATTGTGCCATATAAATAAATGTCCCTTGCCTAGCCTAAATAGACCCTTAAAATGTGGAACATAATTTTAAATCAGGAAAAAAATAAGATTTTTTTAATTTTTTAATTTATTTATTTTTTTTAGAAACATCCATCCATCCATTATCTGACGCGCTTGTCCCAATTGGGGTCGCGAGGGGTGCTGGTGCCTATCTCCAGCAGTCAATGGGCGAGAGGCAGGGTACACCCTGGACAGGTCGCCAGTCCATCGCAGGGCAGTTTTTAGAAACATGAATCTTAAAATTATGGTTAGGATTTGTGTTCAAGCCAATAAATTAATGCATCGTAAAGCCAGCTTTGTTGCTATTTAAGCTGGAAGTCTTTTTGGGAATTTTTCTACTTACTTTGTACAAAGAGAGATATTTTTCCCTTTGTTGCACAATAACTAAAGCTTAATTTTGTAATCCTGCCTCAGATTTTCCATTGGTGTTTTTCTGGACTTCTACTTGGTCACTCCAGCACAAGAAATCTTGCTCTAGCAGTTTGTTTAGCTGGTCTTACTTTCAGGTCTTTTTCGGTATTTACCATTTTTTTCCCATGATTGTATTTTACTCCACCCATCCGCCCCCAACCACTGATCCCGTTATCCTGAGCAAGAACCCCCACAGCATGTTTCCATCATTTGGTTGCATTGAGTTATTTCTGGTTGTCAGAATGACTGAATATGGAGCTCAGTTTTCAAATTATTATTTGGGGAAAACTTTAACGATACACAGAGTCATGCTGATCAGTCATATAAATCACAACAAATATGGGATATAAATACTTTTTCAAGGCACTATAATACCAGGTGAGCACTGTTTATGTCATTTTTTATGCTTGGATTTCTTCCCACAACATTTCCTGCTGGGCTATCGTCAGAATTATCATAGCAGGTGGTTAGGATCTAACAGTGAGGATCAGTTGGGGCTTGAGTATCTCAATGCCTTCCCTCATAAAATGGCTTCACTTTACATTGTAGCGAAAAGAATCCATCTTGCTGATGTTTACAAGAGCACAATGGGTCACCCTGTGCAATCCAGTCCAATCCCTCCCGCTCTCACACGGGCACTAATCTTTCATGACTGCCATGTACAGCACAACTACAACTTAGCTTATAGGACTACATGACCCTGTCCTCTCCATGAACCTTTCATTAGCTCCTTTTTGGTTTTATTTTTCTGTGAGTGTGTGTTTTATGTCTTCACAGTGAGTTCTTCTCTTCTGCTTCTTCTCTTCTTTTTTTTCTATTGTCATTCTTCTTTCTTTTGTTATTTAGTTGAGTTACACATTTATTAGAAAAATACATCTTACATTTCTGTTTTACATGGAATTTAGCGGTGATTATTAGTGTGTGTTATATAATAATAAAAGGAGCTGTGACCATGTCAGAATAACCATTTTAATATCATCTCTGTGATCACTCTTATGCTATTTCACACTCTGTTATTCTGCCATTGTCTCCATTGAGTTTTCCAAATACAGTACAAACTGGGCAGATTGGCTGGTGAGCTAGTGCTAGCCTACTAGTTCTGCTCGATTAACAGGTATAAATCAACAAAACATGAATCCACAAAGAGGTTGAATTCTACCTTAACAAGGCAAGGTTCTGTAAGCCTTGAGAGAAATACCTCCAGGATTTCACATAAATCATCATCATGTATTAATTATATAGAACTCAACAGATACCCAGAATAGTAGAATTTCCATATAATATGTGGGTAAAGATATGTGGGGGTTACTAATATAGGAAGTGGAAGATGCCAAAGTATGAAATCTGTGTTTTTTTTTTCCAGTCCTAAAGCCAGTCTTCTCCCA